TCAATAAAAAATATTTTTTTAATTTAATACATATTATAAAGTGTTTCGATACATGTTAAATAAATACACAAAATGTGTTGACGTTAGAAATGTGTCTAACACTTCTCACCCTTCAAATAAAAGAGGTACTCCTACTTTATAGCTCTATAGCTATAGAAAAAATTAGTTAAGGAATAAAAATAGAAAGTCTTTGATATAAAATACTATTAATTCACCCTTATTTATTATAATTTTTAATGTTGCTAACTTAATTTTTAATAACTTTTTTTATTATTATTCTTTGGTTAGTATCGTTAGAGCTATAGGTGGCAAGACCCATCCTAGTTTATTTTTAGATTTATCTATACAATCGTGCCCTTTAACCATACTGAAAATTCCCATTCTAAAGATGGACGGGTTTAAGCTGCTTTTAGCAGACACTCTCTTGATGTAATAATCAGCAAATATTAAAGAATAATTAGACAAAGGTTAGTTGAAGATGTAATGCATATCTTAGCCACTTTGCTACGGTTTCAATTTTTGCTTATGAAGTTTAGATGTAGCTGACATATCAGTGATTGAAGTTTTCAAATGATTAGAAAGTAGTACTTTCTTTTTCTTTGGTGGGTGATCAGGTTATAGCAGATTGATACTAATTAGTTATGAGCATTATAAGCTTTAATGAAGTCACTAGCTAGTAGTTCTGGCACTTGAAACTTAATGTATAGCTCAACCTCCTTTTCAGTAAGGATCAGTGGAAAAAATGAGTGATTAGTTTCCCTTTAAAATGAGACTATAGACTTATAAAATAGAAGCCTTTTTTGCTTTTATGTTGTTTTCTTTTGCATCAGCAGACATAAAATATATAGGTAAAAGGTGCAATGTGTTGCTTGATAGAAGCAATAATGGGGCATGTGTTATGGAGTAAGTCTCACCGGAAATGCTTTGGGGATACTCAAAAGGAATCATTTTATTTTAATTTTGGAAAGGGATATCCTTTAGAAATAAAATCAGTTTTCTGGACCAGCTCTACTGTAGCTGTCTTTTATGTGGCAAACGTGGTTTGGTGTTACGGATAACCATAATAGCATTTTTACCTTTCTTTATATTTCATGTAATATATATGCTATGTTTCATGATAATTATTTTGGCTTAACTTTGTGTTCTCCATATTATTATCCACTTTTATGATATAAATAAGAGTACTTATTAAAATTAAACATTTACTAAATTATTTTTTTTTATAAGTAATCACGTGTATTTTTAAAGATTGAAACTGATAAAGAAACAAAAAAATAGGTGTAAACTGTATTCTCTTTTACTTCAATGGATTTGCTTTTTATTCATTTTTTTATTGATTTTATTTTGAATTTGAGATATAAAATTGTTATTTAACTTTTTCTCTTATTAGTTTATATAAACTTATTTTCATAAATATTTATATTTACATTTATAAAAGCTTATTATCTTATATAAAATTTTAAATTTCATATAAATATCTATGTTTATATTTATAAAATTTATAATACTTAATATATCTATGGTAATTTTAGTCAAAATTATTAGCAATTACACATTTTTAGTTTTGTGCCAAAAAATAATATTTTTTCAGTAAAAATTGAAAAGTCGATCACTTCCATCTACTTTTTCTTAATATTTACATGTTCTTAAATACTCTCACTTACGGTCTTATCTTTAATTAATTATTACAATATTAGTGTACCTCTTACTTTTCTTTATCTACCATAATATTATATATATATATATATATATATATATAATACTTGTATTTTATTTTTTATTTTTTTGCATCTATATATTTCCAATGTAATATGATATATGTAAATTATGCTTTTGTCCACACACAAAAAATTTAGCTAATTCTTTGTTAATATGTTATATTTGATTAATTTTATAATCGTATAAAATTCTCAATTTTTATAACTTATTATGATGTTTTATATTTATAATTTTATATAAAAATTTATTTTCTCACTTGATTTATTAGTGTTCAATACACTTTTGTTCAGATGTAATTGATTTGAATTTTATTAGTGTATTATATTTGATTACCTTTAAAATCATACAAAATTATTAATATTTATGTCTTTTGATCTTTATAATATAATCAAATTTTCATGTATATTAAATTTTGTTCTTTAACTATTAATTATATGTATATTTATTTTAAAATAGAATACATATATATTAAGGCGTGTCCTCTTATTTATAATAAAAAAATTAATTGAAATTACAACAAAAATTATTAAAAGACTAAAACTGTACATTAATCATAATTGAAAGACTTAATAATAAATTTATCAATTTATTTCTCATTCGTGTTATGATCAAATCGAAAACGAAATTGGTCTATGTGAAAATATTAAGGCATGTCCCCAGAGTCGTCATCTTTAAATCAATAAACGTGGAGTTCTTAAGTTGGAGACAAACTCCTTTCAAAGGAACAAAATCTTTTAAAAAAATCATATGCATTGGAAAAAAGTTAGATTATGACATTTTATCATTTTCTGCCTAAGTTGCAGTTCCAAGTGTAATTTTCTCCTGTTGTTTAAATAATGAAGTTGATTATGGTGAAAAATAACAGTTTGTAAATAAATAATTTAAGAATAATCTGAGAATTGGGTTTAGGTCCTCTTAGATTTTTTTAAGTGTGTTGTTAATGTGATGCTCAAATTGGCATTGTAAAATAGAGGATTAAACAGAAATAACAAAATGATAATTGCACAAAACTTAATCAAACGTAGAGATTTAAAAAAACAAAAACTGCTTAAACAAGAATTAAAATTACAGGAACGAAATGCAAAGCAAAGTAAACTAAAAGTAAATGCAGGAATGTTAATATCGCAAGATATTAAACATACGACTCTTAGTAATGACAAGCAACAGCTGTATATTTTCTAGTTTTCTAGCAATTCTAGAGGGAATCTAAAGTTCAACCAAGTTTGTAAACGTAGAATATTTTCTGATCACTTCCTGTTTTTCGAGTAATTCTGGAGAGATTCTGGAGCTCAACCAGGTTTGTGGGCTTAGAATATTTTTTAACCACTTCCTATTTTTTAAGCAATTCTAGAGAAGATCTGAAGCTCAGTCAAGTTTGTAGACTTAGAATATTTTCTAACCACTTTCTGTTTTTCGAGCAATTCTAGATGGAATCTAGAACTCAATCAGGTTTGTGGACTTAGAATATTTTCTGATAACTTCCTATTTTTCGAGCAATTCTATGTGTCAGGGATTTTAAAACTCTTTGAAAGACCTTCAGGTGGACTTAGAATAATCTTCTTGTCAATTTTATTTTTTGACCAATTTTAGCTATTCTCATTTCAGGGACTAGAAAATCCTCAAAAACTTGTCAAAAAGGCCTTCAGTATTGTGGACTTAGAATAATTTTCTACTACTCTCTTGTCTTTCAAGCAATTTTGAGAGAAATCTAGAGTGTGACAAAAACCTCTAAAATAACTCGAAATGTGACCTTTTCAACAAAAATTAAGGTTTTTCTAAAAAACTTTTTTACACTTCTTAGGTTCGAACTTACTTTTCAATAAAGAATGAAGCTTCTTCTCCAATCCTCTAAAACTCTTCAAAATATAGTTTCTTCATTATGAAAAAAAAAAATACTTTCTAAATACTCCCAAAACTCCTCAAAAAGTGAAATCTTTAAGATAAATTTAGGACTTAGATAAATTTTCATGTCTTTGATTTTCAGTATAGGAGCCTAGGATCCTTAATCTGATAAAGTCTTTATAACTTAAAAAAAATTTCCTTTTCCCATCCAAAAGTTAAAAAATGAAATGTTGTGCCCTAACTTCACTCTAATTCAAAGCTCATAATTGTTAGTCTTATTAATCAAATACTTTTATCCCTAAATTCGAATGAGTGAAAAGGCAAAAGGGTAGTTGCACAAAAGGGAAAGGCTAAAATATTTGGGATACTTCCAGAATTTAACACTTTTATATGTGATGTGGAGGATTCTTACACGTAATTGATATATCTTGAAAATAATTGTATCATTATTACTATCATAGACTATATTTGTTTTGTTTTTCTGTCAGCACTATCATAGACTATAAACCACTATCATTATTACACGTAATTGATATATCTTGAACATAATTTGTACACATCGCTTGTACAATATTGATATGTAAATAGGTTAAGAAGTAAAGTAAGGTTCTTTAGTCAATTTAGTGTCTGGAGAATGATTAAGCCAACAGAACATGATTTTCAGTAAAAGATGATGGGTGGTGAGATTGATTACGACACCAACTCTAAAGTATGATGAACAGTGAAAGATTTCTTTAGCCGTTGAGCAAACTCCATTTCTAAACATTACAAATAGTTGATAATAGTTTTTTAAAATATTGACTATTCTTAGCAAGTTAAAAGTGCGTAAAAAAAAGTAAATTTTGGTTGAGGTGTCAAAACATGCTAGCTAATCTGCATCAAGTCTGTTCATTTCGACCTTTGGAGCTTAAGCCAAGTAAAAAATATCCACTTTTCGAACTTTAAAATATATGTACAAATTCTGTTCGGACCAAAACTTTTAACTCAAATTCTATTATTTAGCAAACTTAAATGGTCACTATTTTGCGAGCTTTAATTTTGATATTATATACTAGGACCGGATTTCTGTCCATCTTTGAATATTAAGCCAATAAGAAGAAAAAAAGAAGTAAAAATTAGTCATTTTATCTATCTATTTATTTTAACCAAAATATGTTTGATAGCAAAAAAGAAAACACCAGCACCCCGTGCTTGCAGAAGTTAAAAAAACGCATTGAGAAAACGGAAAAAGAAAACTTTGCAGAAATAGTTTTCAACAAATGTTTAAAACTCCTAATATAATATATTTTAATGTTAATGTTATTCATAGAAAAAAGTCACGTCAGGCCTCGTAATGAGTTATGACGGTTTTGTGAAGGGTTAGTTTATAAAGGTATTACACTTTCACTTATTAAATACATTCTAGTCCAAGCATTTATAAACGAACCAAAATGATCTAAATCAATACCTTTCAAACGTATCAAGCATTATTCAAAGAGATTTATTTACATAAGAATCAATTTGGTGCTCCATTAAAAATAGAAGTAAAACATTTATAAATACGAATTATATGAACATGTACATTTAAACTTTAATAAAAGAAAAAGATTCATCCATAGCAGTTCCCCTAGGTTCCAACTAAATGAGTGAAAGCAAACTGGAGCAGTAAGAATTTTCATTAAAGATTAAAATAATGCCAAATTACATCATAAAACCGGAACTCTTGCATGAGTGATGGTTTTTTTTTCCCACCAACGATTTCCTGCCTCCAACCTTATATTATCCCACCCCAAAGTGGAAACTTATCATAAAATTAAGGAATAAGAAATTTTACGGTTCCAAAAGGACTTGGGATGAATATATGGGACATAACTCGAAGACCAAATCACCTTCCAAAACACTATTTTACAATGAAGGCTACTTCTTGACTCTTATGTCAATATACAAAAGAAAAGTCCAACTCTCATCACCCTTAGCCAAGAACGCTAAGTGAGATTCACTTAAATAAAATGCCTGGGATGCTCAAGCTCTTCTCATGTCTTGCCTTCGTCCATCTCCAAAAACCTCTTCTATCATGTTGCATGTAGGTAAGAAGTCAATCTTATTCTTAGAGCAAGATACAAAGCCAGAATCCCACACTTTTGCATCACAAGGCTCTAAAACATATGCTTGGCTATAACCATTGCTTACCCCGTTGTAGTTTCCACACCAATGATCACCATTCTCACTCTTCACCTTGGTCTCCTGTGAGGCAACTCCCATGTCAGATGATGCGCATGAATCATCTTTAACTTTTTCATCACATGAATCCTGCCAAACAGGTTGATCCTGGGGAGCAATTAGAGGAGGGGAACCACTAGAGTGATGCATATCTACAGGGTCATATTTGGAATCATCATCATCCGTGTTCCTCTCAGTAAAATCCACTGTTTCATTAACTGCACAAGTTTCGTCTGCAGCATATTCATCATAGTCTTGCATATCATTATCATGGAAATTAGTAATACAAGGCTCATCTTGACATGCAGGGGACTCAGCAACAGAGTCCTCATCTTCCTCTCGAGTTGCAATTTCATTGCTATCACTGCCCTGCCATTCATCATTATCGCTGTCAATGCTTAATAAGTCATTCCTGTTCTGCTCTGCCCGCTTTCGAAGCATGAATACATTAAAGTAGTAACTCACTATTTCCTTTTTGGTTCGGGAAGGAAAAACAATGGAAAGATAATTCCAGAAGTTCTTATCAAGGGATGCTGGATTATTGAAAACAACCTCGTGAAATAGTTGTTCATCTTCTGCACTCCATTTTTCTGCCACTTGTTCTCCCATGTTAGCAAACCCCAATTCAGTGAATTTCTCGTGGCCAAAAGTTTTTATAAGCTTTTCTCTTTCTTCTGCAATATGCTGCCTGACACATCTCATGGATCCCCCATCTTCACAGCTACAATCAGTTCTTCCCTTTCCAACTTCATCATCATCACTAGACAATGCCATCTGAGGCATGGGGATTATACAGGTCCCCATCAGTCTTTTCTCTGCTTCATCCCTGTCCCCAACAGTAGAGTCGGAATCCAAAACAGCATCAGAGGCATTGGGTCCACTAGTGGACCCAGAAAAATCCCATGCTGGGACGTCAGCTTGATGATCCGCTCCAACAGATACAAGTTTGCGAGGAGGGTGTTCAAGGAGTATGGAATAGATGTCCTCATAGCGAGTTAAAGTCCTTACTGGTCGCTCTGGACTAAAATACTCCGGAAAAAGGGCAAGATGTAAAGGTGGTTCAGATCGAAGATCTTCTTCAGTTAGACTGGTGGCCCAAGAAGAAGCAAAAATATCTACTAGAGGAAAGTTTGTTTCAGAGTCTTCAGCCCCTCTAGGAAGTTCACCAGAACTTTCACCTCCAAGCTTCTCATTACCTTCACCACTACCTTGTGTACATCCACCCTCTACAAATTATAATGTACACTATATCAAAATACATTCTGTGTAATGTTAAATAAAATCTTAAAAGCATCAAACAATATCAAGTAGTCCCTTCAATTTGCCCATCTCCAGGTAAGCCCCACAATCTGATGTCAGAAAATGCCTCATGATATATTATCTTCAGATGTACTTTTTATGTTCAAGCAGTAATCAATGAATGATACCAATTTTTTAACAGACAAATGACAAAAGGCCAAGCCACTATTTAACGCCTAATAGGCAATATAATGGAATAACCTAAAATGAGGGGGAAACGAGGATATGAAAAAAGAGAGTCAAATAACTCCAAAGCACAAAACATAGAGTTAAAATTGGTTGACTAATAAAGCAGTGATGAACCACAGTGACTGTCTTGAAAGTTTTTTTTTAAAGTTTAATTAACTACAAACTTGAAACTCGTTGAAATTATATTTTCATTTCAAATGGCACAGTTGATGCTCAAGCATGGAGGGATCACCTACTAAACACCCACCTGAAGTTTTAGGCACATGAGTATGGCAATCATCATCAGGAAAAACAGTTTCTGATAATGAAGCAAGCTGATTGCTGGGTTCTGCATGTTTTGGATATTTGAAGGACACCTCAAGTATTTCCTCAGTATCAAAAGGACGCTTCTGCACCATGATTACCTGCAGGACAGGATCCAATAAAGAATAAGAACCACCTCGAAACGTCACAGTAATTATTCCGGTATTCATGCATCAAAACAACCAAAAGGAAGGTTCAACACAATTTAGAGGTAAAACATTTTGGGATATAATGTAACATTTGTCTGCTTACTGTCAAGACATCACTACATTTTTTTATCAAGAAAGTCTAGGATAAATACTAGACAATTGATCCCACAATTCAAAATCAAGTACAACATTACAACTAATACTCAATGCTCAATATAGGAAATTTGGAAATCATTAAGCTCCAATAACTGATATTGGTTTGCAAACCTTTCGAACACTTGATTCAAAGACAGACGCTTCAATATTTATTCAGCATTTGATATTAAAAAAAACCAATCACCTGGCAATAATAAAAACTGATGCCAAACAAATTCACTTGAGCTTATTAAAGAACTCTTTTTCATAAAAATATGTCAATGTTCTACTTAGCAAGAAAGCAACATCAAACAACAACCCTTTAAAGTAAGATAAAATATTCTACAACAGCCACATTGCAATAGTAGTTAGCATGAACAAGAGTTGACCCCACGTCCTGAATAAGAATATCTTCTATCCAAATCACTGTAACTGTAGCATTTTAACATTAATATTATAACATAAAAAGGCAAGTGGGCCCAACCACAGAGGCAACATTAGCAAAATACAACATTTAGGGACAATTTAGTAAATTGACATTAGTTACACTAAAAAGCAGACGCTAACATCACTGCCAAAACTGACCAGAAAATTAAAATAAATTACCGTAAAATGAATTGCAAGAAATAACTGTCAACAACAATAATAATAACCCATGAATTGTACCTTAAATTAAACAAGTCACCGTCAAATTTTATGGAGAAATGCTGAATCGGACTATTAATAACGCTAATTGGAAGTAATCAAACGGAATGATCCTAATTGCTCCAGGAATTGAAATTTCCCCTAAGAAATTCAAGAAAACAAGAAAAACCCCAATTTCAGGAAACCCTAGACCTAGATCTTTCCGAAACCAACGAGAACAATGGACAATTATTACGATTCGCACAGCAACGAATTACTGGACGCGAGATCTAATAACCGAAACAAGGATTTGAAGGATCGAACCGAAATCAAACTCGGGTTGAGAATAATTTACACAAAATCGTAGAAAAAGGAACGCAACGAAGAAGACCCAGAACCCAAATCAAATAAAAAAATTTCCCTTCCTCAGATCCCGTTTGGGGAAAAACAGATCAAGAATATTCCGCGACGGAAACCCTAAAAACGAATCCCGTACACCGACAGGGCAAAAATTGGGATCGATCGATGCAGAAAATCAAGAACTAAAGCAAGGTCGAATCGATTGAAGTGGTGGCGGCAAAATTGGGGTCGAATCGAGGGAGAAAGGAAAAGAAATCGAGATCGGAAAACGCGGCTAAAGACGAAAAGGGGAAAAAGCTAGGGTTAGGTCTTTTTTTTTTTGGTTGGTGCGGGAAAGGAATAAAATGAAGAAACGACACCGTATGGTTGTATGTGAATTACGCGAAATGCCCCTCGTGTTTGTGTTGGGTGTGTGTGAGGGGAAGCATGCGATGCGAGTGCGGTATATATGGGACAGTGTGGGAACGAGCTTGAGGGTAGATTCCGAATCATCATTGTCATTGCTGAAGGGTCTTCTGACACGTGGCATTCTCTTAAGGGATAATTTTGTGTTTTCTTTTCTGACTTTCCCTTTTATGGGCCAACGTGATTTTTGTGAGTGGGGGAATCTGGGGACAATAATCTCAGGCCTTTTTATTTTTTATTTCTTTTTCTTTTTTTTCTCTGTTGTAAGAATTTCTTGTCATTGCTCCATATTCACTCTTCTTTTTTTTTCTTATTGTCTCTTTTGTAAACGTCAGTAATACACTTTTTCCCACCTCTTTAATGTTACTTTATCACTAACAAAATATTATCCCCTTTTTTTATTTTCTGATTTTACTTCAATTCTTTTTACTAATAATAATCTGTTATAGAGAGTTTATTGTTAATGTTTTTCACTCTCTCTGTAATGTAAGTATGTGTTTAGATTCTTTTCCTCTTTACAAACTAACATATATTTAGATTAAAATTTATAAAATAGATATTGTGATTTAATTGTTTTATTGTTGAGATAGGTGTGAAATAGGATATGATGATTCAAGTCCCAGGCCAAACTTCACTCTAAGCCCTTCAACGATAAAGTTAGATTACGTTGACTAAAAATCTTGTGAGTACATATATTCTAAATACATTATTAACTTATATTATAAATGATATAAGAGAGAGAATTAATCCTTTCATAAATTAGTTTCTATTTTTATGAAATTTATTTTTAGAAGTTATTATCATTTTCATTAAGTCGTGTATATTTTTTTTTATTAAGTATTTATTTTCATTTATAATTTTAAGTTCTTTCATCTATTTAAAAAAATATTTTAATTTTAATCTATTCAATTTTTTTTTACCTCTACATACAAATTATCATATTGTTGAAAAAGTATTATCAAAGTTATTAACGTGATTCAAGATAGATTTGATGTTCCTATTAATTTAAGAGCTACTTCATTTTAGTACGATGATTGGGTAGGTATAAATGTCCTCTCTATCTTCAAGTACTTTATTATTACTAACTCTATTATCTTTGAGTGTATGACTCAATGACTTATGAAACTTCTCAAGTTTATATACTAATATTCTTTCACATATTCATAAAAGAATAAGGACAGTAAAAATTCCAAATCATCCTTTGGTCTCGCATTTGGCTTGTATATTTATATTGCCAACTTTACACAATGTTATACCTACAAATCACAAGCATTTCAAGTACAATATGTGCTCATCACTTATTTGGCCATATATTCCTCCTATAAATGTTTTCTTCAATGCATATGTGATCACTCACATGCTAAAGAATTGTAATTACAACTTGGAAATTTTGAAGCTCCCTTATTCTGTCAAAGGGACCCTAACCCTAAGATTTGGATATGCAAGTTATTGTGTTATGATCATGCATGTTTGATGCTAACAATTTTACAGAGTTTTGGAAATGATGAAATAATACTATCTTTGGTGATAAGTTATTGATTTGTGCTTATGTTCTTTGACAAATTTATATACCACAAGCTAAATTTGCTAGTTTTTGCTCTAAACAAATAACTAACAATAGTTATCGGATTCCTCCACCCTTCCCTTTTCTTAAATTGAATGTTGGTAGAAGTAGAAGCTTTGGTCACATGGGAGCTAGAGGACTCTCTAAAGATTTGTGCTTTCAAATTTTTCTCTTTTTGGAGAGACATAGAAGATTATGTTTTTGACAAAACTCATAGTCCTTGAACAAGGATTATATTATACCTAAGTTTATGATTATAATAAACATGTGATTTGCAAGAGTCTAGGGTTACCATTTTTTATCGAGAGATAAATATTAACTTTCATACTTATTTAATGTTCATTTCAGATATTATCTAACTTCACAAGGATTAAGATGACATCATCCTCCATATCTCAAGAAATAGGAACAAAGAGATAGATGACTTGACCAAAATTAGAGATCAAGACAATGCTTCTATCCACATTTAGTATTATTTTTGTTCACAAATTTTACTTAAATTTAAATATTTATGCAATACATGAATAACTTGTTAGTTGACACTAGATTATAAACTACACAAAATTACACTAGATTATAAATGTCAAATTTTATCAATTCAACCATTATATTGAAAGTTCTCATAAAGAATATTAAAATTACATATTTTTTATATAATTTTAAACCTAAGTAATACTTTATTGCTTCATTTTATGTAAACGCATAATTAATAAACACCTATACATTAATATAAATAGCGTTGAAGAGTAGAAAGAAAGAATAAATTTTAAAAAATAATTGAAAGTATAAATAGATAGATTTGAAAAAACAATAATGAAAAAGAAAAGGTTTAAAATCATTAATAATTGGTGAGAGTTTTAAATATTTTACGAGCTTAAAAGAACTATTCTAAGCTAGCTCAAGAAAAGATAAAACTCATAGCAAACATCCTTTTTATTTCATCATTAGCCCAATATATAAATGGGTCAAGTACAACTTTTGAGGCTCACTTGAACTTTCATGTTTATAGCCTTTAGTGTCCCTTGCACTTGTAATTATTTCTAACTAAAATCAATTTTACAGAATAAAGTTTATAAAAATAAATAAATAAATAAATCTCTGACTCAAAGACACTTTGTTAGAAAGTATTTTTAAGTAAATTGATGTGTTTGAAAAATAATTTTAAAAAATTAATTAAAATGCATGAACAATGTAAAAAATAAAAACACTATATTTTGATCACAAATTGTCATATAATTAAAATTGTTGACTTTTATAATAACTACTTATTTTTAATCAGGTGATAATATATAGGTATTTATGGTGACAATGCATCAAAATTTAAAAAAAAATTGCAAAAGTATTATTAAGATAGTGTTAATAAAAATGGTTGTAAATGTTTTACTACCAAAAAAGGACTAATTATTTTTTTCTTGGTTAAATATGATTAGAACATAAACAATAAAATGTTCTAAATTTTAGGGTATTAGAACCATATTTAACTTCAAACTTGTTTTCACCAAAATATCAAACGTATACACTATATTAAGACAAAATTCATGTAACAATTGAAATTTACGGTTCACGATTGCCAAAAACTAAATATGTTGAACTGATAAGCAATCTCTCGTTTGTTATTCAAGATGAGAATAAAATAAAGTTTGAAGCTGAATTTGGTATATCCCAATATGAACCTAATTTCACGTCTGAAAAGGACTTTCATGCACTCAACATAACAAGCTTGTAGATGAAGCAAAGCACTGTATTACAGTCATTGTCTTAAACAAAATGATCCAAAGGAGGGACATTTTCTTTGGTTGAAGCCTGCATAATTACAGGCGACAAAGGTACCAGAGTAGGAGAATGACACAAAGCAATACAAAGGATTCTGACATTCTATTTCAATTCACATACTTAAGGTGCAAAGAATGCAGAGCCTTTCAAATTACATCTAATGAAGGTCTTAATTTACAGCTGCTGAGACACCCACTTTCATTATCAACAAAATGGCTTATAATCCCATTTATGAAAATTTTCAGTCGAGTGCTGAATAATGCCTCCATCTACAAGCCAGCACATTTGGGTATGGAAAAAAAGAAACAAGTCATATACAATGTGACACAGGGATCTCCATACACTTATTTCAGATGTGAAATAAAAGGCATGCATAAAATACCCTGTATTCCATGCCACATCCAAAAGCTCATCCAAATTTACAACTAAAAAACCCCCATTGCAAGCTGTCTCAACAATACTGAGACCATTTCATAGATCAACACCCTCATCCAGACCTTTGGAACTGATCATCACATTTGAATCAATTTGTTTGTCAAACTTCTTTTTCCTCCTAGCTTCAAACTCTTGAAACCCATCCATCTAGACCATTCATCAATAGTTCAGTTGTATAGAAAATCAAACAATTATATAAGTTCTAGCAGAAAAATAGAGAAGTAAAAAGAAAAGGAAAAAAAAAGGAACGAGATTGTACCAGTTGAAATTGATCCATTGATATAGGATTACCATGCAGTGATATGTTCTGAAGAGCTTTGCAGTCTTTCAATAAATTTAAAGGTATCTGTCCAAAAGGAAACCAAAGTATCATTAAGACATTTGGAATCCAAGGACATTAGTCTAAAATATAAACTACTAGCGTTGAAACTAGAGGGAAGCAACAAAGATTTAGATGCTATGAGTTTATAAGGGAAAAAAAAAGGAAAATACAATAACCAATAGGTACTATAAAAATAGTATACGAATAAGACTTGTTGCCCACAAGATGGAAGACCATGCCAGAGTCCAAACACATCAACATGAATTCAAGACCAAATGAAGCATGTGATTCAAAGTAAATACTACAATTTAACCTGCACAATTACAGGCAACAAAGGTACCCCTAGTTTCCCAAATGCAATTCTGGATACCCTCCCTGACCCCCTATTATCATCATCCTCTATTTATTCTTCTAGAAACTGATTAACCTCTTGAATTCCTAACTAACTCTTAACTAAAAATTTATTTTACTAACTAACTGCTGTGGCGGTTACCTATCAATCTATCATATGTTAAATCAAAAACCAGGCTAGTATATCCAAGGGACTCAACATCAGCAACGGAGTAAGGATCTAGTCTACTTGTCACTGAGATCACATAGGCATCATAATCCTTGGGTAGAAACCATCAAGGATTACGTCATGATGTTCTTGCTGCAACACTGAAGATGCAACAGACAGCAAGGAATTCATTAGGCCTTTGATATGCAGCAGATATCCTGATAATGCTCAATTTCCATACTTCGTGTTCTCAGCTCAGATTAAAACTGTTGCACTTTACTTCAAGTCTGAGAATGGAAGAAAGTACGAATTTCATCTCACATTCACCAAGAATGAATGCTGCCAACTTCACAAGAAAGAAGGCGTCTGATAATGATGAAAGCCACCATGAAAATAGCATTGATCACGCTGCTCCCAGTGCAGCTAATCCTCATTAGCAATACCGTAATCAGAGTCTTCTTCAGAGATATCAATCAGGAATCTCCAAATTAATAAGCGATGAAGTCAATGTCCTTGAATCAATACTTGGACCTGTTGCTTCCACAACAGGATGTTTTTCTCATCCAATTTTACAGAGAGAAGTTTATTGGAGTGCTCACCAGAGATGACGAGGTGTGAGGACCAGTCAAATTTTGGAATAGATTCATGTGCAAAGCCATTATTCAGACAGCCAGCTCATGATACCATGTAGAACTCATGAACAAGTGAGATATTGAAGAAAGTAAGAGAGAAAGAGAGAGTCTGATATCTATGAATCACATGATGCTTTCATTAGATTGAACTCTTCGGAGAGTTCTTAAATTTTTATAGAATCTGAGTCAGCTTGCAACTGTTAAAGACAGATAAGGATACTAACTGAATCAGTTATATGAAAGTAGTTAAATAGCTGGCAGTCTAACAGAAGAGTTAAGTTTTGGCAACTCAAATCCTAACCCATGACAAATGATGATTACTATTTTCTCAGTTGACAACTGAGAGCTAGCCTATAGGTGTTCTTTCAACAATTTTGTCCAGTAAAACTAATGTATATATATATCTCTTCTGCTGACCTCACCAAGTGGAACAAAGCTTGGTTGTTGTTGTTGTTAATGCATTTGTTAGGCTTAAATAAGCTTTTAATCCCTATAAACATTGTTATTTTTCAAAATTACACCTTGTAAAAAATTTCATTAGTATTTAATCCCTAATATTTTAAGGTGCTTGCTATGGTACCTGTAAATTTGAAAGAGCATTGTATACTCTCTCTATATTAACAGTTGTGATTCCTCTAATATCTTAGAGATTAAAGGGTATTCATATCTTTTCCAAATAAACCACTAACTCTACTATCTATTAATTTAAAATTAACAGTGATAATTGTTTCACATGTGAAAGGGCATAGAATAACCTCTTGATTTACATGAACAGTAGAAATTACCATATTTTAAAGGTTTAAATAAGTTTTTAGTCTCTTCAAATTCGTAATTTCTCATTTGGTCCCTAATTTTTTATTTTTTCCAAACAAGTCTCTTAAAAATCCTTTTTCATTCCCATATGGTTCATTTCTTAATGATTTGTTAATTTTCTCTATTATCTACTTATGTGACATTTAACTTGGTTCATATAAAATGATAGAGCTGATATGGATGATGATGCAGAATCAATTATATCTCCATTCCCTTTATATTTCCAAATTTTGATTTAAGAAAACATAATCTTATAACTCAAAATTTCATTCAGAAGTATGAAGGATGTAATATTATAATTCATTCATCTCATCCATATCATGTCTCAATTAAATAATGAGTCAACTTGCAAGTTATGTAAGCAAATAATGAAATAAGTTAATAGATTACTGGCAAAGGGATCAAATGACAATGAAAAATAATTTTTGGGAGACTAGAATGAAAAAATTAAAAAAGAACGACCAGACCAAATTGAAAATTCATGAAATTTTGGAAAACCAAACCTTTTTTAACCCTATTTTAAAAGGGTAAAAAATTAGTCCCTATCAAGAACTAAATACTAACAAATTTTTTTAACAATAAGAACTAATTTTTTATCCTTTTAAAATTAGTGACTAAACAATATAACAACAATCAAGTCTTATCTCAGTAAGTGAGGTTGGCTACATAAATTACACAACACCACTGAACATAGTAGAAAAAGCAAATTTTAAAAAATATTATTAACCAAAAGGTCACTTTTAATAATTTTGTCTAAGATTCTTATGAGGCTCTTTCTACTCCTTTTTACCAAATTAAAAGTCATGTCATCCACTCTCTTCACTAGCACCTTCAAAGATCTTCTTTGCATGTAATGTCGTAACCAAACTACTTTAGATGATTTTCAGTTATCTTTTTTATTATAAGTGTTACTCCAATATTTTCACTTATACTATCATTTTATATCCTTTCTTTTTCTGTGCAACAACTCATCCACCTTAACATCCTCATTTCTGTTACTCTTACTTTTTTCTAGTGTTGTTTCTTTAAGGCCCAACATTTATTATCATGTTAGATAGTTGGTCATATTGTAATATGATAAAAAATTTCTTTCAATATAATAAAGACTTTACAATTACAAATAACTCCTAAAGTCTAACCATCTAGCTTGTATTTTATAAGTAACATCTTTATTAATTTCTTCATCATTATGTAGGAGGAATGTCAAGTACCTGAACATGGAAACTTGTAGTATAATATCATCTTCAATTTAAACTTTCAACACATGAATCTCATTCTGTTTTTTGCTAAACTTACAATGCATATACTCTGTTTTACTTTTGCTCAAGTGAAAATTCTTACAATCTAAAGTCTCTCTACATAACTCAAGTTTAACATCAACTTTTTCTTTTAATTCTCAATCAACATTATGTCATCTACAAAGAGTATGCACTTAGAAATAATCTTTTGTATATTACTTGTAAGGACATCTAAGACTATATTAAAAATGTGTTTGAGTCTATTTATTAAAAATCATTTTGTTTCCACATCCAAAAATTTCCAAGGACTGAGTCACTTGCTTCCTAATTTATATAGAATTACAATGGGCAGTATCAAATTTCTAGTGAAGGAACTTACAAGCAATCAACATTCACACTGGTTGGATTGTCCTTAGAAGATCCCTATAACTTAATTTTAGAACATAATGGAAGAATTTAACACATTCACCAAGTTATAAATGAATATTGAACAGGAAAACAATAAAGTAGCATTCAGTCCAGTCTAGTCTTAAATCACTAAGGATTTAAAATCACAAAATACTACCTGCTTCAAATTATTGTTATCCAAGCAAAGTGACTTTAAGTGAGAGAGATTGCACACAGAAGAGGGAAGATCTTCAATAACATTATCTGAAATGTTCACAATAAGGTTGAAATTAGCTTTATGCAAAACACAACATTGAGACAAACAGATAGAAAGATGGTGCAAATTGTTCCAAAGATCCAGACTAGATTATCATAGAAATGGTCAATCACAAGAAAATTAATATTATGATATTTATATCACCACAGTTATCCTTCAACCTGATATATTGTCATTTTCCTCAAATTATAACTACATATAACCAAATTGTGACTTTTGATTGCACTGGCTACAAAACACAAGGCAATCCAAACAAGCTTCAACTTAAAGATAAGATGTAAGATCAGAAAAGTAATCTCAAACTTGAAGAACACTTGCAAAGCAATCTATTCTTGAATGCAAACAGATACTTCCATTGAAGAGAAATAAAGATAGCATGAAGGCAAATCCTCCTCAGCAGGTTAACAATAACAATCAATGAAATCCAGTTGAATATCAACAAATCAATAGGGGAAAAAATCTCTGATATCTTTCAAGTCTGATAAGGAAATAAAACATCCAAAAAACATAGGAAAACACATATGAGGATGCAAATATGCAAACAGATGCATTACCATGCACATGCAATGCACACAAAAAGTGTTCATGTGAATCAGAAACATACCATTAGCTTGTAATTCTTCCAGAGAGAAGCAACTCCCAACAGACTCTGGAAGTGACTGTAACTTGTTATTTGACACATTTAAAAGCAACAGCTGCATTATCAAACATTTTATCATACTCTAAAGCTAAAAAATGGTACACATTTCACATCAAAATTTTTCAAAATATACAGAAAAACACTATAAGGGTGCATTCAGTTTATTTATTATGAGTGCATGGTTATAATCCTAGTCTCATGTCAAACCATAAGTTTATTAAGCATAAATTCATTGTTTATACAGCATTTAAGATTCCTAATAATAATAATAATAATAATAATAATATCAAAGAATTCCTGATTTCCAAATCACATACTTAAAAACCCTTCATGATTACAAGTTAAGCCAATGAGAACAGAAAAAATGATATTCTATAAGGGCAAGAACAGTTAGACAAGAACAGGCTACAACCCAGACAGTATATTAAAATATGAAGTGTCTCAGTATAATGAGTAACGTTGATTGTTGCAGCGTGTGATTGTGTCTTACATGTGTATGACATGAAGACAGCTACTTTACTTTAAATGTCTGCACTCGGAAGGGTAAGCTCAAAGTTTACAAAATTCCATAATTATGAAGTGATGGTACTCAGTCATATCTACATATAAAGCAATTTGCATGCAACGATGCAAATCTCAAATCATAGAAATCATAGAAAAGTTAAATGATATTTCGGTTCCACTATGTATTATACTTACATTTCTCAAACTGCCAATAGTTGCTGGCAAGGATGTTAACAAATTCCCTGAGATGGACAAGCATTCAAGCCTTACTAACTGGCCCACTAGAAAAATAATATACTGTCACTTTATCAAAAGGAAACGTAGAAAACTTCCACTAAATACATGTAACATAAGCAAATAAGATAATAATATTCATTTTAAACAGTTACTTATAGGATTAAAGAAGAGAATTACATTCATCAGGCAAGGATGTTATTCGATTTCCATCAAGGTTCATGAGTTTTAGAGATTGAAGTTTCCCCAAATTTACTGGCAGTCTCTCAATGAGGTTCTCCGCTAGTACCTGTGATTTCAGTGAAACTTCAATACAAAATAGTATTTGCAATCAATCTTTAATGTCATATAATTATAGATCTTTTAAAAACTTTAAAGCAACCACTTCCAAAACACAACCAAGGAAAAAATACATGAAAAATAGCAGTCTTAATACAACAACATCAATAACAACCAACCATGCCTTAACACATGTTCCAAAAAGCATAAGTTTCAAAATAAATAAATAAACTCAAAATTTAATGATTCTACGAGAATCAATGAGTAACTGAACATCTAAAGTAAAAAACAAACAATACGACAGAGTTAGGTGGGAATGAAGTCAAACTTCATTCAGGCCTAGGGCTCAAAACTCATAGGTAAGTCTGATGAGTGATGTAAAAGAGGCATATACAGTAACTTGGATAAGATTGTAGCAACTACCAAGTAAGGAGATAATTATAATGGAAGAGAACGGAAAAGTCTAGTGATTACTTGTTACAAAACCTACATGCCTCTTGTTGAATAACAGAATATAAGATGGCAGTTTCACTGACACCTCAAGTACTTACAAGAAACAGTACATATATTTGAAAATGAAGAATGACATGGTGTATAAACATGGTAATTTAAACACCTCTGTTGGTACTTCGCTGAAACAGAAACTAAGAACAACAGCAAAGCCTTATCCCACTAAGTTTGGTTGGCTACATGGATCAAATGATGTTATTGTATTATTTACCATGAAACCACATTTAATAATTATTAATTACATTACAGAACTGCACAAATTTAAGGAATAATTATATTACAGAACTACGCAAATTATTCTCTCCCATTGTGGGAGGAATTGGATGTCTAGTTCCATTTTCGCTTAAATGAAAATTAACTCGCTTAAGCGAAAATGAAAAAAAAAAACAACAAAAATTTTTGTACACAAAGTGCACTTCTCATGAGAGGGTGGAGAGGATGGCAAGGTGTGAGGGGAAGAGGGAACTGGGGATGGGGAGAGCGGGTGGTATAGGGTGGGGCTGAAGGGAGAGGAGAGTGGAGGAGTTGAGTATGAAGAAAAGAATGAGAAGGTGGGTATGGGAGTGGAGTGGGGTGAGGGTAGGAAGAGGACGAGGAAGAGAGGAGTTGGGTATAGGGTGGAGGTGGGAAAAGAGAGAGTTGGGAAAGGAAGAGAAGAGTTGGGTATGAGAGGATGAGGAGAGTTGAATATGGAGGTTGGGGAGGGAGTGTTAGGCATAGAGGGAAAGAGAGCAAAGTGTTAGGTATAGACGCAAAATTCGCTTAAGCCAAAAAATTTCGCTTAACGACTTTTCTCTATTTTCGTTTAAGCGAAAATAGAACTGGACCTCCAATTCCGCCACAACGGGAGAGAGTCTGGATCCCAAATCCAGGAAAACATAATCAACGCAACAATAATTGGTTAAAATACTGAGATTAACAAAAGTGGGCTATTATTTTCACGCTGTAGCTTATTTAATTACTGATCCTACATAATTTAATAGCATCAGATAAAATCCATAATCCATTAATGTCCCAGTCCAAAAAAATTGACAGTATAGAAGCCACCATGCTGTAAGCAGAGTCATGATTGGTCCTTACCAGGCGCTGTACATTAGTTAATTTGCTGATTTCAACAGGAATGTCAACTGCAGTCAAGAAAATGAATTATTAACAATAAAATAAGAGCAACAACGTCAATAATAATCCTGTAAAGGTGTGTTCAAGGTCAAAATTATTATATCTACAAAAGGGCAATGACATCTTAATCAAAATGTAAGACAAGGGAAATGAAAGAAAGAAGAATGGCTTACCTATTCGATTATGTGTTAAGTCAAGCGTGCGAACAGATCTATCTAAATCGAGAATTTCATCTGGAAATGTCTATTATAGAAGGAGAGCAAGGTAAGTATGATTTAAAAAATCACACACGGTCATGCATATTGCGTACAAAAACAAAACATGAATACATTACAAAAAAATAAAGCACATCACGTGTATGATACAAAATTACATATTCACTATGCACCTACCAAGCTTAAATGCTACAAATTTGCAACTTCAATTAACAATACTAATACATTTACAAGGTTTAAAGCATATACTATAAGTATCCTGCTACATGCATCAATCATCTCAACGGAAGAAAGAATAAGGGATATGAAAATTCATTCTAGTTTAGTACTGAATATGAATTACTGAATTTAATATGGGAAAAGCAACACATAGATGAGACAGTTTATTGAACACCCACCCACCCCCTCCCACTTAACATAAAAACACGATCGGTTCAGTTAAAATAATGAAATCGAAGCGAGAGGGAGAGAGAAAGAGAGAATTTTGCCTTCAATTTGGAATCGCGCAAAGCAACAATGCCTGTAGATCGCCAACGCGCGGTTCTATTGGCCTTGGTGTCGGCGTTTTTGCTCGCCAAACATCCCATTTTTCCGTTTTATTTTTTTCTTTTGCAATGTGAGAATGATTCGATGAATTCGTAAAATTAAGGAAGGCTTTTACAGAGTTTGAAAGAGGACAGAGACAGAGTCAGAGAGTAGAGAAACAAAAACCGCGTTTTTCTTTGGTTTTTGTCTCACCCACCTGGAGTAACGTTGTACCCGGGTGTTTGGTTTGTTTTATTTGCCTGGTCTCCGAGGATTGCTGAGTGGTTACACTGGTGGTACCTGTGGCTTATTATTCTTATTCTTATTATTATTATTATTATTATTTTAAATATCGTTAAGTTCATTTCTAATGTCAGATTCCTGTTATCAACAAGAGGATAGGATATAATAATTTATGTTATTTTTTATACTTTTTGAATAATAAAATATGATAATTTCTTTTATTTTTTATATTTTAAATTTTTATTCTAATAAACTGATGGGTTAGAAAACATTATACTAAAATATTTTTTTCTACTATATTTTTACCAAAATTTTATACCATTATTAATATTGTATAAAAAGTTTTACTTAAAAAATATATTTTAATAATTTTTATAAAAATATTAATGAATTTTTCTAAAATAATTATATTTTTAAAAATAATTTACTCATTTTATAAAATATATTTTTAATTTTTAATAATTAACTTTTTAATTATATTTTATTATTAAAAATACTTTAATTATAAAAATTGAAAGAAATTATTATAATTTAATATCAAAATTTAAATATTATACATATACAAGAATATTTTTAAAATTTTAATATATTTTTATTGAAAATTTAAATAAAAATATTTAAAAATATTATTTTTTATAAAAGAATAATTTTGTTATTTTAAATATATTTTACATCTTATTTTACTTTTTGGTTAAATTATATATTTAATCCTTATAATTAAAGTACATTTATAAAATACTTTTTATACTTTAAAAAGTTACATTTTAATTCTTATACAAGTGGTTTAGTCTTTATATTTACATTTTGATTACTAACAGTATAACAATATTAAAGATAGAATGAACTAAATCATATTCAAATATTTATGTAGACTAAAATGTTAGCTGTTTTAAGATTAGAAACTAACTCATTTTTTTTTTAAGTATTGAAACTAAAACATAATTTTATTTTAAGTATAAAAATTAATTTATAAACATATCAAATATAGTAACTAAATATTTATTTTAATCAATTATATTTTTAAAAGAATACAATGCACTAAATTTAATTAAAAAAATACATATATTATAACTCAATTATATTTTTGTAACACTTTCTTTTTATTTAATAAAAAATATTACTTAATTATATATTACCTTTTATCATACTTTTAGAAGAATAAATAAAATATTAATGTTAGGATTTTCATTATTATTTCATAACATGTAACAATATCAATTTTATATATAATATTTTTTTTAATTAAACGTTTGGTTCCTAAAGAAATTACATAATTTGAAGTTAAGTATCTAATTAAGTATTTGTGCAATTTTTGTAAGGAACAAACACTTAATTAAATCTATATTTTTATGATATATCAATTTTATTAAAACACACATTGGTCTCTAATAAAATTATATAAATTGAAGTTACTTAAGTGTTTGTACAATTTTTGTAACGACCAAACAGTTAATTAAACTTATATTTTTATGATATATCAATTTTTATAACACATATAAATTATTTCATTTACAAGTGTTAACTAGATAGACTAAATATATAATTTAGCTTTTTTTTTATCTTAAATATTAAACAAGATAACATAATATATTATCTTAAAGTACATCAAATATAAAAATAAGGTGAGAGTTTATCTATCTCCCATCTTTATCCATTCCTCGTATTTTGTTCTTTTTAATAAAGATTCTTTTGTATTTCCTTTTTTACTTTTTACATTTTTATTAATGTTTTTATTGTTAAAATTATATTCCTAAAATATCTTTTTTTGCCTTTTTATTATCTGTAACATCATTACTATAATTAAAATAATTTTTCTTAATAATATATAATATTTTAAAATAAACTTGATAAAATTCGTAAAAATTATGAATAACTTTAGAAAATTCTATAGATATATGAACATAAACTTATAAAGGTCAACAAATTTTGAAACTTTGCCTGTATAAAAGTCTCATTCATAATAAAGTAAATACACATTTTCATAACTTGAATTTATAATTAAAATGAAGATTAAGATTTTATGTAAAGTATATATATATATATATATATATATATATAATTCAAATTTATAATATAAATAATATTATTTACAATAAATTAAATTTTTAACTAAAACTAAATATGAATTAAAATTTAAATCGATTAACAACTAAGTATTCCACATACACCTTAATGAATACTTATAATAAGGTTTATCAATAAATATAAATTCTAAATGGAAACTCAATTTATACTATTACATTTTTTGACATAAACTAATCCTATCAGAGCACTTTTTTCTCACAATTCATTACGAGTATTATTCTAAAATAGATCAATCTTCTCTATTTCTTCATTTTCATTACTTAAAAAATATTAGTAAGGGTAAATATTTTCCATCCACTAACTTTTATTTAATTAAAACAGTTAAAATAATATAAAATTTATTTTCTTATATAATAAATACCAAGATAGAAACGATTTATATAAAACAATTCTAAGCAGATAATGATCATTCATACACATCATTTCACAATCAATCATATAATCTTTTGCACTCATGTCACTTTATTCATTTCAATTTTGAATTATTCACCAAATAAAAGTACTCTAGATACTCATAGACCCTTAAATTGCTGTCAATATACTCTTTCTAATTACGATAAACTTATGCCAGTATAAATAGTCGTTGTCAATTAACACACACGGATACAATGTGTGTTTTATTAAGTACTTATATGAAAGGTATAGTCAAGAGTTTAGGTTAGGAAATGAGCGTGAAGCCTATGAATGCTTTCGCTACCAATTGTATACACATAAGCTATTAGCATTCATGACCCTCATTCTCTCTAAATTTTCCAAATCACTTTCGAACACTATCTATACCTCTAATGTATCTTTTAACCATTTATATGGAAACTCAACAGTAGCATACCAAAATCATATTATTTTACATCCTAATACATGTGTTACAATCACACTAATTAATGTATTACAATATGTGTTATAATTTCATCCATCAATGTATTACAACACACATATTATAATTTCACTAATTAATTTTTTATGACACAAGCATTAGTTACACTTTTTTGTAAAATGATTAAATATATTTTCCAATTTTTAAATATAATTTTCTCAAAAATTTTATATTTTTTAAAAATAAATAATTTTATTAAAAAAATATTTTTATTAAAATTAAATTATGATTTTAAATAATTATTTTCTTATAAAATTAAAAAAATGTACAAAGTATGAAATAGAATGTAATAAAAAAAAACTTATCATATCCTCACAATTCTTAGTGGTTTAGATAAATTTTATAAACTCTTAATATTTAGTAAAATAATTAAAATTAATAGTTATTAACATTTTGTGAAATGTTATTCCAAATAGCTTTAGCTTTTCTACCCTTAGGTAAAAGTATTTTAAGTTAGTTGAAATTTATTTTCAAACACATTTTTTTATTAAAATGGTAAAAAAAAATATCAAATATCATTTCTTCTAAAAATTTAAAAATATTATATAAATATTTTTATATTATCTCATTTTATTTAATATAAATAAAATGTAAATGAAAGTGAAAAATATTATGCTAAATTTTAACATAATAAATGATTTAAAATATAAAAAAATAAACTATTTAGAAGCAAATATATTTTAGAAATTTGAAGTTATGATTAAGTAACTTTATATTCTTATGTCATTTTATATTAATCAACTAGTTTAAAAACATATTCTATGAAACACTTTTAAACTTTAATGTTTCAACTTTTAACTACTTTATATTATATTTTTGTCAAATATCTTATCTTTTTTTTTTTTTTCAGTTTCTCTGTTACGTAAACCAAAAATATTCAATCTTTACTGATAAAGAAATTTAAATTATAAGAAAATATTTCCTACAAAGATGTTATATATATGAGAATTCAAAATAAATAATGTTATGTTCAAAACAAATTATATTTTAATTGAAAAAAATGAAACTCATTATAAATAATTAAAAATAAAAAAAATATCACAACATTCATTACTTTTACAGTAATAAATTGACAATATTTTGAAAAAAAAAAATATAAACGCTCATTTTTTAGTATCCTAATATTTATGATGATAAATTATTTTAAATAAATTAAAATATAAAAAATTACGAAATATTTAAAAATATATAATTTTTAAAACTCATTTCTTCTCTATATGTCATTTTACATTTATCATTTAATTTAATAATTAAATTTATCAAACAATTTTAATTCAATCTTAAAGCATGTTCTTAGTACGTAAAAAAAAAAGTTTGGACGTGGTAGAGCTAGTTAGAAATATTTAACTTTTAATTTTTAAATATAAATTTTAAAACAAAATATGTTTAACTAAAATAAACCTAAATTGTTTTTTTAATTCATTTTAAAGCAACTTTAACCTAATTTTTTAAAACTAAGCAAAGCAATTTTAAGTTTTGATTTTTAGTTGTAAAACAAACCATTCAACAACAAATTATTTTTATTACAATCATTATCATATATTTGTCATTGTTACCGCAAGTAATTCTCCTCATCATTACAAACCACCATATTTGTTATTATTACTATTACATTTGTCATAATAATTGTTGTGAACCTTTGCCAACATTATTACTATTACCATCATAAAATTTTATCATTATAACAAATAATATCATTATTATTATCACTTTAATGACCATTATCATTCTAAAAAATTACCAAGTCATAGTAAATCATTATTAGCACTCATATTATTACCACTTTCATTAACATAATTATTATCTTTGTCACTTTTGCTACTTCCATTGCATCATAAGTTTATCACAATTATCCCTGCTACCTCCTCTTTTATCTACCTTCATCATCACTCTATTAGCAAACAAATTTAGTTTTGGTATAAGAAGAAAAAATAATTTTGTAGTTTAAATTTAAGATTTAGTGTTAAAATTTGAATTTAAAATTTATAAAATTAAATATAGATTTTGGTTTTTAAATGTTAAA